CCGATGACGATAGAATAGAAAGAGTGCCCGCATTGCAATGATCACGCGAGAAAACTGGATTCCCATCAAGAGCGTGTAGGTTTGTTCTGCCCATTTCATCAAAGGCAATGTAAAGCTCAGCACAGACTAATGGCCCAGAGGCGATACTCAGACTTGAGACTATAGTAAAAGGCCCCTGTTACCGGGAACACATCAGTCACTGTTGTCTTCTACCCGTGGCAGATAAGTGTACTGACGCGGGACATGGGTAGCAAAATGTGGAAGCTAACATTGAAAATCCATCGCAAAGGTGTTTATTTTATAGTTTGAGCTATACCAATGATGCGTACTATTCCAAACAACACGGGACACAAAGTAGCCGCGCTTAACATTGATCGCCACACAGTGATCATCATGATGTCCACGTTTCGTTGTCTTTGCATTTGATTTTTTTTTAAGCGACGTTGGGGAGTTGGCTCTCATCTGTGCGAGCAAATGACTCATCATTTATCTTTTGGGTGTGAACATAAACTGCCCGCTTAGGTAGGTTCAACATGAAAGCTTGGTTCAGGAATAGCTTACTTGTGAGTAAAACATAATGGTTCGCGTGACCCTGCAGGCGCAGTTTAAGTCATCACATCAGTAAATTTTATAGTTTCTTAGTCACACTAACACTTCAGATCGCGAGCGATTTCGATCGCCGCTGATCTTTTTAAAATGTGACCGGTGTGACACAGGCGCAGAAATTATCGTTTTATTCTGAGGTTGTATCCTTAGACGGAAATACAAATATGTTCGGGGTTCTTCAGGAGGAAGCTTTTCAGTTCTAGTCGATGAGCTGAATTGAGCAACTTCACTTTTCTCCTTCCTGCACATTAGCGACGTGGGTGCGCTTTAAAAACGTGGACAGGAAAAAGACAGGTGTACAATGTCAATTCCCGGTCCACGTCTTCAAAGCGCATCCACATCGTCGATACGCAGAACCAACTGGCCCAATTAAGCTCGCTGACAAACTTGTCCTGCAATTTATGCATTTTATATTTGTATAGACATGACCACTATCTGAGGTAAAATGAAGCAGGGGGCCACGCTCATCAGAAGACCACGACGGTGATCTTGCACGGCGCCCGTCAGCCACGCGAGCCGTGTTACCTGCAGCGGTGGCCGCGCCTGTGCCTGCCGTGTGCTACTTTGAGCCCTTTCATGTAGCCGCTAGACGTTGCTCCAATAACATTCTAAGGAATGCGCCAGAAATATTACAGCAGTATATTCAAGCACACCACGAAGACACCGCCGAAACCATTGAAAAAGCATTGCCGGAAGTGCCGCACTGGAAGTCTAGAGGGGTAGACCGTTCGGCACGAGCCAGTTTGTTTACAAACACCGAAACTGTCTATACCACTGAGCTACAAGGTTATTGCATAAGTATATACAAGCTCTGCTCCTTACATGGGCAGCACATAAGTAAGGAGCAGAGGTGCGGTTAATATGATTAGGAATATTCATTTCATGGAGTGGAGTACTAACTGCATAACTGCCAAGTTCAAGGATTCTGAATCCAGGAGATTTCCGTAAGAAAAAGGGGGGGGGGGGGGGGTCGCGCCGCTTTATTTGTGCCCCTTTTTTTGCACAAAAAAAAAGAAAAACATCATGATAAACGGGAGGGGAGGTATCCAAACAACTCAGCAGACACACACATCAGCATTACGGTCTTATAAAGGCTTGGAGTGGCCAAACATACAAGGGTTGGGTTTCCCAACTAAAGTGTGTCTCCAAGGGGGAAGTGCAAATACCGCCGAAATTCAACGTTATCAAAGTAGATAGCAAAATAATTTCTGTCAAAATAACTGGTGTACGTCTTCGTGAGACAGCAGCTTACTGCCACGAAAGCATGGGTCCAAGCTACACTACCTTACTTAGATTCTTTGGACAGGAAGGCCAAAACACTTTTAGCCTTTTTTATGTCGCCTTTAATTTACCACTGCATCAACCGTGTGCCCTCAAACCTCAAGGTTGGCTACTGCATCTTTACAACAGCAGTTTCGTGCGTGGCGGCTACGGCAAACGGTAGTTCCGCTCTCAATCTGCTTGTGCTGGCTGCGCACGTGCCTCCAAAACTAAGTCGTTTTTTGCTATCTATGGTCGCATCTGCCGCAGTTTTGTCCGCAGTGTTTGCGGACAGCGGCATCACTTTGACTGGTCAAGCGTTGAACACTAGCACATTTTCGGAGTCCTTTACACTGAAGCTATACATGATCGTGTCTAAGCCATACAGCGGTTGTGGTAAGCGACAACCGCACGCGACGAAGATGGTGTGTGCGCTGACTGCGCGCGTAGTACTTCCGAAGCAATGAGCCCACTGCTGTCGAGCTTCGTTAGACCGTTTCGGTACTCATGTTCATATCACCCGCCGTGATGAGGAAAAGTGTTTGAAGCACACAAATTTTGGCCCAATGGTCTCAGTGGAATTTGACTGGGGAATTTTGCAAATTCGTATCTGCTGGTTTCGCATCACTACGATGGTTTCACAAAAGCGATGCGTTCGCAAAATGCGATGGGTTCGCAAAAAAGTCTCGATCGGATTGGCCCGCAATTTTGTCAATGCGGCCAGATCATGCATAGAAGTTACGTACCCGGCCACACAGGCCAATATTTCAAATATTTTCGTAAACATTTTTTGTATCGATAGGATGAATACTGACTGACATGAAATAGACTTCATATTGAACACATGCCAGCACTGTGCAGAATGTGAAAGCGGTAGACAAGATACGATGCAGTGACCACAGGATGATTAGGTATCGAATTCGTTCAGACTTATTAAGCAAGGAATGGCAGAAAATGATACACAAAAAGACAATTATAAAGCTAGTGTTGAGACAATAACTACAGAAATTCCCAACCACGCTTTTGAACAGAGACTCAACCCTAACCGACAAAGCGATGATTGATTGATATGTCGGGTTTAACATTCCAAAACCACCATATGATTATGAGGGACGCCGTAGTGGAGGGCTCCGAAAATTTTGACCACCTGGGGTTCTTTAAGATGCACCCAAATCTAAACACACGGGCCAACAGCATTTTCGCCTCCATCGAAAATGCAGCCGCCGCAGCCGGGATTCGATCCTGCGACATGCGGGTCAGCAGCAGAGTACCTTAGCCACTAGACCACCGCGACGGGGCACCGACAAAGCGAAGCAATAATTGATAATATGATGAGTATCATTACAAAGGGTGCCACAGAAGTCAAAGGTACAGACAGACAGACAACTGGCAAGATCAATCATGCTAAACTTTTTAATATTCACCGTAGGGCCAAGTGCGTTTCATAGAATAGTAGAGGACATTTCGAAATGATCTATTTAATATTTTTAGGCAAAATGAGCGGCTTCGGCTCGGCTTCCCATTACATCAGCATTTTTGACGGCAGCATGTGGCAAGGAAGCCACACAGAAACACATTTAATAAAGGAATGGAGAGACCTAAGGGCCCTGTGGTGTGGCTACTGAACTGCTGTCAGCGTCACTATTGGCTGGTCAGGTGAATGACATCATTGGAGATTTATTACATTAATCAGCATAAAGAAATAAATTAACAAAACAAAAAATATTTAATTTCCAGTGCTGAAATTTGAGCCGATGCCCTGATGCTCCGAAGACAAGTGTATTTAGCACTCGGTTAGACACCAATGGTTCATCTTAGTGAGCGCATTGTGACTTTACTTGTGAAACCATGGCTTTTGCTTGCAGCAGTCAAACCAAAGCGTAATTATTTTCTAAATGATCGTTGACCTGTGACTACAGAATGATCGTTGACCCAAGAATAGAAACGCATTCCTAAGTAGCGCGATTTTCAACAACTAGCCTCATGATGCACAAGCAGCAGACTACGCTATCTCTGAGTAAAGAATCGGACCAACGGCAAAGTGCGCTGGAGCTACTTGACGGGCGCAGCCAATTAGACGCCTTGAAACGAACTTACAGACATTCGCTTTATACACCCTTGTTTCTGAGGGGCCAAGCTAGGTGAAGCGGGAGAAGAATAAGAAAAAATGATCTTTCCGACAAAAGCAAAAATGCGACACCTGGTTGTGCTGCTAAAACGAAATATTTTTTAAAAACGCTACTTTCCTTGCGGTTTTTACGATGATTGTCGCCCCATCAGCAGGTGCAACAAGCTTTTACAGCTCTTTTGATAGTTTTAAGCGATTACTTTTTTGAATAAGATAGAAAAGGACTACATAAATTGAAAACATGGTATTGAAAAAAAATTTATTTTTCACGCACTCTCACTTGTCTAGCATCCACAAAAGCCGTGCATGAAAAGCATGTCACCTCTCCAACCAGCACTGCCAGCGGCACCAATGTGTGGAATGTTGCCCATGCCACTATGGTTATACCAAGTCGTGTGAATAAATGCAATTAGGCCTGTGTATTTTCTCATTGTAAGGCACATAGTGAACCCAACTTATCAGCACCCTTCCAGCATTTCATCAACCTAACCAAAACAAACACTCACCTGCATTTTGCTACCTCGGTAACAGTACGCTTAGGAATCCTCTGCAATGTTTCTTTTTTATGGCTTCAATTTATTCGAGAACTATTCGAAAGTTATTCATTTCAATTTTCACTCAGTATATGATTCGACTATCCTTCACGATGATAATTTTGCTATTCCCACAGCTACACTAGGGGCCACTCTACAGTCGAACCCAGGTATATCAAACTCGCCAAAAAACGTTTATTAGTTCGATATATGGCATTATTTAATATAGGTCTGGTATAGAATTTGACACAAAGGCACATAATAAATTATAAGAAAAGTAGTTTATTAATATGGCGGCTTACTTGTGATCCCTACTGTGGTACAAAATAGTCCCGGATTTTCTTCTGGGTCAACGACTTCGCTGCCTGCGACAGCACACACACCTCCACTTTGTCCAAAGAGTCGGAGCAGCTGAGGCCGCAACCTTCCACATTCACACAATAGCGCCGGACCAACGCAAGTGCACTAATTACCTCGAAGGATGTAGGCAATGGGCCATCATCAATTTCCTTATTGCTGTCGCTTTGGCTTGTGGTCGGTCCTCAGCTTGCAGCTGACCCGTGATGGCGACATCATCGCCCGCACTGACGAACTCGTCGAATGTCGATCCGTCGACAGCACCCGGGAACTCTGCCAGCTCGTTCCAAACTTCGACGGAAACACCTGCGGTGACTTCAGTGCTGTCGTCGAAATTTGGGGTGTCATCACCAGGCATGCGGAAGCCGGCATACCTAAAGCAGTTCTGGATGGTCTCCTTCGTGACATCTGCTAACGATCCAATCAACATAGAAATAGCTCCGAGCAAGTCGATCTTAAGCTCCCTGCCGACACGAAGGCGAATGGCAAATTCTGCCTCTTTGGGCAAGCCATGAGGACAGCGCACCAACACAGTTCACAGAGCAACAGGGAACACCACCAGCAAAGACCACATTGGATGAGGACTCGAGGAAAACAGGCAGCTGGAGGCACTCAAGCATAAAGAAACAAAAAATGACGATCACTTCTACCACCTCCGCGCCTCAGAGAAAGCATGACGGCCTCTGATTGGCTGTAAGCGCTGCAAGCGGGCCAGGATTATTTCTTGCAGGGGGGTGTTCGCCTGTGCACAACCGGGTCTAACCAACTTTTTCTAGGGTGGCGTCGGCAGTTTTCCCCGCCACCGCGAGAAAAAGCCAACTTGCTGGGGCACTTTTGAGGCACATGGAGTTCGATATACCAGTAGTCTGCTATTTTCGTTTGATAAAACAGGAACATTTGTGCTATATATTCTCAATGTAAATTTACCTTGTTTAGGAATTGTTCGATATACGGGATAATTTGATATAAACGGGTTCATTATAGTCAGGCTGGAGTGTATTACTAAAGTATACTCATACCTCGATACAACGAATTCAGATATCACAAAGTAAATGAAGATTAGTGCTGCAATATTGTGTTAGAAACGTATCTTATAACAAATTTTTAGATACTATATTAAACTTTTTTGTGCAAGATTCAATTTCATTATCATGAGGTTTGAGTGCATTTCATAACGAGAAAGAACTGTCCTTAATAAGCGATAGATTGACGGTTTGCACGCACAGTTGTTCTACTCGCAGTATGAGAGTGCTGCAGTAAGGTAGTGCATGAGGGCAGTAACGTCGTTTTATTATGTTTCATGGGCTTTACAGCACATTATGTTGTGACAGCTGGTGCATCACTATCTCAAAATAAGAGCAAAATAAGAGCCAAGAATAAAGAAGAAGAGGCAGAAAGAATGCGAATTAATGATCCTTCCGCAGGTTTACCCGCAGAAACCTTGTTACAACTTTTAGTTCCTCTAAATGGTCAAGTTTGGTCATCTTTACAACTACCGGTAGTAGCAACGAGCGGTGTCTACAAAGGGCAGACACGTAATCAACGCGAGCTTCTGACTTACACTTACTAAGAATTCCTCGTTCAAGGGGAACAATTTCAAACCCCTATCCTGATCACGAAAGGAGTTCCACGAGTTACCCAGTTTTTTCAGACAGGAATAAAGACACGCTGGTTCCTTCAGTGTAGCGCACTCCTGACACATGCAGTAAAACCTTATTAATTCAAAGTCACGGGGACAGCGAGAAATCTTAGAGTGAAGTGGGTTTTCCAATTAAGCAAACATACAAAAAGTTGGACGGAAGGAATATGAACTTGTTTCAGTAATCAGGGCTAATGGTTTGCTATGCCAGCTAGTTTGCAGCTCCAAGGCTTATGTTTTCCAGCAATACCTGTTCACAATTTTGTTCCAAATGAGAGAACACTGGGCCCTGCAGCCGCCGCAAAAAAAAGATAAATAATAAAAATGTTGTGATTAACGAAAATTCACGCCTGCGAAAAAAATCGCCAGGCCTGCGCTGAAGGCGCAGCACAGTCGCAGCGAAAGCTCGAAGTGCGAGCGACCTTTCAGAGCTTTTTCAACACACTTTCGGTAAATGCTAAAAGCACCCTTGCTGGGTACCCACTTACGCCATAAATGATCATAATTTCCGTGTAGTAGGCTGGCATTCACTACGCTATCCTTTATCATTTTTTGAAGAAGCGTCGTATCCGCTAAACACTTGCAACAAACTTTGTGTGAATTTTGTGTTTCATACAGTGGCTGACGATGATGATGAATTACGGTTGAAGTGGGTATACGCCACGGTTAATAGGTGACAAAGAACAAGCTTTTATAGTGGGTTGGAGCATTGGACGACCCACTCGTTACGCTATTCGCTTTGTATGACGCCTGGTTGTTCCTTTGATGTTTTAAAATGTTTTATTAATGCGATTCCTTTCCCGACACCAAGCTTGCCTAAGGCAAGTTTGCGAACGAGTCCCAAGCGCCAGCATGACCCAGCGGTAGAATACCGGGATGGCATGCAGTGAACCTAGGTTCAAATCCCACTATGTCCTTGGTGTTTTCATTTGAGTTCTTTTTTTTTTTTTTAAATTTTGTGTGACAGTGATTACGGACACCGGTGATGGTGGCAGGCAACTACAGCGCCACGCGTGATCCTTGTTGCGATCTCGTAACATCTTTTGCTGTAACACAAGACATATTCACTGCAACGCAGTAGTGACATGCAGGCAGCATATCAGCTGCTCATCGCTGCGTCAGCACGTCATGATCGACCATTCGCCCATTTTATTACGTGAAAATTGATCATTCCATTCAATAACGAACAGCACGACGAAATTCACAATGTGTTTTGGCTGGAAAGAATGATCACTGAAGCTTTCGAACAGAGTTTTTGAAGTGGCCGTTCTTAAAACTCACTAGTCGCTCTTAAAACTCATTCTTTACACAGATTTGCAGCAGAATCGGGATCAGGCATTGGCACATGCACCCAAAATTTTCTAATTAAACGGACTGGTGCTGACCATGGCTACAGATTATCCGCTCAAACTTTCGTTGCAAAGTACAGGGCCATGGAAATATTTCAAGTCAAGTGGAATTTTGAATTAACTCAGTTTGAAATAACGAGGTTTTACTGCACTCAAACCTCGTTATATCGAACCCCAATATAACGAAATATCAGTTATAGAAGAGTAAATAAAGAAGTATTCCAATAGAATATGTTGGTTTATAGAAATTTTTTATACTATAAAACGAGCTTATTTTTGTATAATATGCAATTTCGTGAAAAGGAAGTTTGAGCGCAAAAGGCTTTAAAATGCTGGAAAGAACCTGCCCCACAGCATACAAGCACCAACTATTAAAATACATGCTGAGCAAATATACTTACTCTGTGGCCCACCAATTGCTGCAAAATCAAATAGGACATTTATGTCTACAGAGGAACATCACTGCGGCACACAAAATTTTGACATACATATTCCACATATTCCATCTCTATTGGTTGTTTGCCTAATTCTTCATTACTCAGAGGATTTCATTTAGAAAAGTAAGTAGTATTCCTCAAAACTCGGCAAAAGTTCTAGGGGCAAAATATAATGCCACCATTGGATGAGATCAAAACTGCTCAAACCAGTTTCAAGGCTTCACAAGCAACTAAAAATGTGGGACTGCCATATTATTGTCCCACTTCCCGACACGGTATGAGGAACAGAGCAGCCAATACTACTATAAAACAAGAATCCAATATGCTTCTTATGTGGAAAGGGGTGCACTGAGAGAACATGCCATGTACTAATAGTTCCAAAAAAAATAACAAACCAACACAATACAGTTAAACCTGCTTATAACGAACCTCCATTTAACGAATTCCTCAATATAACGATGTTTTTCAATTCTCCGCCGTTGCTCCTTAAAGCACATGTATTTTCAAACTATATGTAAGAAAGTAACAGCGGGAGACAACCTTGATATAACGAATTTTCCCCACGAACAATCTAGAAATTCTGCTCCGCATTCTGGCGCTATGGTGCGAGCGTGCATCTTCCGCGGCTGCCTTGCCATTGACAATGTGCAAAGCGGCGGCGGCGGCGTGTGCACGGCGCACCAGGTGAAAGAGAGTGCTCGTTATTGCGCGCGGGTGTGCGCGAGTTGGGCATGCACCCCACAAGCTGTCGTTACTGCCGTTTTCCCCGCCGCGGCCGCATGCATGGCTGTGCCCCGCCCCTTCAACTCCAAACCAAAATCAAAAGAACAACAACAAAAAAAGAAAACTACTTTTGCGCGTTGGAAGTGCCATGCTTTTAGTTAGCATCACATATGTGAGGCCGCGTTGCCTATGGAGGGCACTTTACCGAATAGTTTTTTGCCCTATCCGTGTCTGTGTTGTTCACCCTTCGTCTTCGATGCTGCGCGTGCATGGTGTGGCCCCAATAACAATCAGCTTTTTTTTTGTATATTATTGTGATAGGAATTATATGGACAGTCTGAGCTGAATTCTTTTTTTTTTTTCCGCCGCTGCCACTGTAATTGATCGTGATCGTATATGCATACGTGTCTATATATATATATATATACATAGGCAGGCATAGTGGTTGAGTGGCCGTAGCGTTGCATATAGTCCAGTAGATCCTCCGTGAGCGGTCACAACGTGGTTTATTTCGACGTTTCGGCCTAGAGTCTGGCCTTCATCGGGATTAAAGATACAGTTTGTTGGTGCTCAGCTTTATACAATCTCAAATCAGAGGGAAAGGAAAGAGAGGGAAAAAACCGAAAAAAAAAGAAAAAGAAAAAAGAAAAAGGAAAGAAAAAAAGAAAAAAGAGAAGAAGCGAAAAATAATATACGGTGGACGCCCCTCGGGTGCCCCCCTTCCACTCTTCCTTCCACTTCCCCCTTCATCTCTCTCCCCCATCTCCCCATCTCCCCTTTCTGATGTCAGCGGTCTGTGTATGTTTCCGTTCACTAACGCATTCCTCCCGATCAGACGGCCCCTCCTGGCACTGGCGGTTCGGTTCGGTGTGGGGCAAAAATGAGCTTTTCAGAAAGTCCTAAGCCTTTAACTACTCGGGGTCCTGTAAACAATTCGTCGTAGAAGGAGGGGTGCTGCGTATTGTGGCAGAGGCTGGTAAGCGGGCATTTTGGGAAGTTCTAAGCCTTTAACTACTCCGCTCCCTGTCAACATTTCGTCGTAAAAATAGGGGTGCTCCGTATTGCGGTAGGCTGTGCAAGCGGGTGCAATGCGAATTCCTTGCACGCTTCTAAATTACGCGTGTAGTGGGGGCCTCCCGGCTGTGCACAGGGTTGCTGTTGGGCATGTCGTGCATGGCACAATTGATTGGGTAGTAAAATAAAACAGAAAACAGACGACAGCTGCACTTAGGAAGAGTAGTTACACTTGGAATTGTTTTGGGTTGTCCAGTGCCCTTCGCAGCTGCAGTGCCATGAACTCAGTTACTATTTTCATTGTTGCCATTATTGTTTTTTAATGCTTTCATTGCTGCAAGTGTTCCAGGATTCTCATTTATTCCTCTATCGAGGGTGTTAAATCGGTGGATAAGGTATGACTCTCGTTGTTCACGTTCTCGATTTGATTTAAATCCCGTCTCTAAGAGCGTTACTGATAGTTTGTCGAATGCATGGTCGGGAAGTTTGAGATGTTTGATAGAGGTAGACTTGGGGCTGATTTCGCATGGGCTCTGTGATTATTGAAGCGAATCCTAAATGGTGTTTCTGTTTGTCCGATGTACTGCATACCACACACGTTGCATTCGAGTAGGTACACCACATTAAAGGAATCGCATGTTAGGTTTCCTCGTATGTTAATCGAAAACTTGGATTGCGTGCTGGTTGCTTTGTCTGTTTCTCGCATCGCCTTACATACAAGACATCGTGGCTTTAAGCAAGGGCGGCATGAATTATCTTGAGTTGGCCTCCCGGCCAACCCAAAACAATTCCAAGTGCAACTACTCTTCCTAAGTGCAGCTGTCGTCTGTTTTCTGTTTTATTTTACTACCCAATCAATTGTGCCATGCACGACATGCCCAACAGCAACCCTGTGCACAGCCGGGAGGCCCCCACTACACGCGTAATTTAGAAGCGTGCAAGGAATTCGCATTGCACCCACTTGCACAGCCTACCGCAATACGGGGCACGGCTATTTTTACGACGAAATGTTGACAGGGAGCGGAGTAGTTAAAGGCTTAGAACTTCCCAAAATGCCCGCTTACCAGCCTCTGCCACAATACGCGGCACCCCTCCTTCTACGACGAATTGTTTACGGGACCCTGAGTAGTTAAAGGCTTAGGACTTTCTGAAAAGCTCTTTTTTGCCCCACACCGAACCGCCAGTGCCAGGAGGGGCCGTCTGATCGGGAGGAACGCGTTAGTGAACGGAAACATACACAGACCGCTGACATCAGAAAGGTGAAGGGGAGATGGGGGAGAGAGATGAAGGGGGAAGTGGAAGGAAGAGTGGAAGGGGGGCACCCAAGGGGCGTCCACCGTATATTATTTTTCTCTTCGTCTCTTTTCCCTTTTTTTTAACTTTTTCTTTTCTTTTTTTTCTGTTTTTTTTTCCCTCTTTCCTTTCCCTCTGATTTGAGATTGTATAAAGCTGAGCACCAACAAACTGTATCTTTAATCCTGATGAAGGCCAGACTCTAGGCCGAAACGTCGAAATAAACCACGTTGTGACCGCTCACGGAGGATCTACTGGACTATATGCAACGCTACGGCCACTCAACCACCATGCCTGCCTACACAAGACCGGCCACAGGCGCACCTCCAGTCGAGCAGGTCTCACGGAATTTCCCTAAACATGCACCAACTACAGCCATCATCGGAAACTCGCAAACAAGGTATCTACATCGGCATTTCAACCCACATGAGAAGACGACACCTGCAATCATTTCCATTCGCGGAGCCTCTACATTCGACATCGAGAAAGAGCTTGCTGGCATACCACGATCTGTGACCACGTTCGTTTTTCACGTCGGTACGAGCGAGCTGGCGTCGTACGGACTAGAGGAATCGCTACGCCGCCTTCGCCACCTAGTGAACAACACGCTTCGGACACGCCAGGAACTCGAAAGGCTCGTTGTTTCATGTGTGCTGCCCCGGTACCTCAACCTACACCTGGAACGATCGAACGAACAATTCGTGCACCGCTTCAACCGGGACGCTCGTCACTTCAACGAGACAGTCAAGGCCTACTGCCGAAGACCCAGCAAGGTGTCATACATTGACTACCAATTCGAGCAGTTGCCACCAAGACGCTTTCTTGCTGCGGATGGGCTTCATCCGAGTTTTATGGGTGTGGCTTTGATTGCCGAAACCCTCAAGAAAGCACTCGGTCGTGGAGATTTAGAAGCTACCACGGGGTGGTCGACTCAACCAGCAGCTCCTGTGAATATACGTTCAACACAACAAGACACCCACGAGAAGACTTCTGCATATCAACATACACCAGGAGCCCCACACCCACCCAACACCACAGATGAGTTCCCGACGATCAGCGAAACTGTGACTCCCGCGAGCCACAAGCACCCCCTCACCATCATCAACAGCGCACCACTACTAGGGGGGAAGTCTGCAGAACAGCCAACACGCGTCCCTCCATTGCGGATGTCGAGACCAAAAGCACTACACGACAGCACCACTACACCACTCCTCAAAGGGAAGCCTGCCGAACTACGAAACCGCGTCCCCCTATTGCGGACCCCGGAACTGCCAACGAACACGTTCGCCGGGAGCCCAACGCCGAAATCCTCCCCACAACGACGAAGGCCTGCCGGACATAACTACAACCTGCGCACCTCATCAGTGCCATCCCCGCACCCAAAAGAAGATTGACTTCTGAAATGCGAGTCCAGCTCATCGTTTCCCAGTTGCAGTGCCACTTTCCTTAAAGCACGAAAACTTGCTGACAAACGAATTAGACATGAAATGCATAAATCAACATTGCAAGTGTACCTTCGTGCTAGAATAGCCCCCGAGGGTATGACACTCTCCCTCGCACCAGCCGCTACAAATCTAGATTAACACGACCAAATAACATGGAAAAACGTCCTCCTTGAGGCATCTCTTAAATTAACAGAAATCGCTCTTAATCACAGTGATAAGCAGGTAAAGAAACTGGTCGCTATGACCAACACCATTCTCTGCCACAACACTTTATTGAACGAAGAAATCACGCGATTAACAGAATTTGAGCAGAATAAATACCAAGCCATCATGACCACAAAAATTCATAAACTCAAAAGAGACCATGTGCCCAAACCCGCGTTCCCTGATATAGTTCCTTATCATTACAACACCACCACCCAGGAAATCACTAATGGTACAAACGAGCACCCATCTAGGAACACACCCTGTGACACTGTGGTTGTAAACTTATCGGACACGAGCTTG